TATGAAAACTGTTTTCATGTGGTTATGAATTTGAGTAACCTTGTTAAATAGTTCATCGTTGCCGAAATGTATGACCCAATTATTAAGAAGATTCACTTAAAAGTATTAATCAATTATGAGGTTTTCAGTTTGCTGATCTCTGGTCTTTTATTATTTTTTTCCGATAAGTCATTCGATATTTATTGTTCTATAATTCTGAATTCGGTTTCTAAGTCTTCATTTATATTCAGGGACTACAAACGTTATCGTCCAAGCTTCCGACTGCGTTCCGGATTCTTTGTATAGGGCACAAATTTCGAAAAGAGATGTTAGTAAATCTAACCTTATTATCCTCACCAACACAACAATAATTTCATCGGTCTGAGATATACTGGACTGTTGAATAACCATTAACTTAATAGTTTGCAGATCGGACGTTGGCCATCATATTTGATTCCATCATACAGTGCAGAAGCCACGTTGTAATCTTCACTCATGTACACTATCTCGGAGGACGACCAGAGTTTTGAGACTCAGATGGACCAGTGAGTGCTGCCTGTTCCTCAAATTATTTATGTTTTCCGGTTGACCATTCACATGCCCAAGTAAATTGTGCATTTGACGAGTAATAAATTCTGTGGAGGGAATCAAGTGCAACCAAACACTGAAAGTTATTGGCACTATGAATTTTAATAACATTATTGACAACCATTTTATTAATAACGTCAATAAACTTTTAATCCAAAGTTTTAAGTACTATGTCAATCCCACATTGGTTATTCTAGCCTTCAGACAGGCAAATTTACCCATCTTATATGAGTTTACTAGTTACACATCTAGTAATCAAGGAAGTTTCATTAACAGAAAACAAATTCACGGTCACGCATATGAATTTTCTATAGCTAAAACTCTAATATTTTCATTCTTATCTATTGAATGTTCTAACCAAGAGACGACTAGTAGTTCTTAATCATCTTTCCGGTCTGATGATCATATTAAACTCCAGCATATTACGACAGCGTGCTTCACTCCAGATGTTGACGTCTTCATGATGCAGTCGATCACCAGGAGAAAGAGAAAGGGTGGGAGTAATCAACTTTGCCAAACATCGGTTTTTACATCGAATGAGTTGGTGAGTTGTCCCCCATGAACAATTTGGCAGTTTAATCCATCATGGGAATTTCGTATGAAATCAACCAGATTTTCGAGCACACCGTGGTGTCTAGGAAGCCTCCATAGTGTCGTCCTGTCTACACTATCAAATGTTTCTCGTAGTCAATGAAGTTGATGTACAGTGATGAATTTTATTCAATTGATTGTTCCACAATGATCTATATAGTTGCGATTTGGTCCGTACACGATCGATCCTTATGGTATCCAGCCTGTTCATTTCGAAGTTGGGCGTTTATGGAGTCTTTCATTCTGTTTAACAATACCCTGTTGAAGACTTTTCCTGGCACTGAGAAAAGAGTGATGTCACTGTAGTTATCACAATTGCTGAGATCGCCTTTTTAGTATCTTCATCAGAAATCTTTCTTTCCAGACTGTTGGTACTTGTTCTTCATCCTAAATCTTACTGAATAGAATATGGAGTATCTTTGCAGTTGCTGCTACATCTGCTTTCAGTGCCTTTGCTGGAATGTCGTCGGGTCCCACTGCCTTGCCGCTCTTGATTTGTCTGATGACCAGGCTGATCTCTTCAATTGCTGATGAGCCAACATCGATTGGAAGGTCTGTAGGTGCTACTTCGATGTTGAGTGGGTTCAGTGGAGTTGGTCGATTCAAGAGTTCTTTGAAGTGTTCTACCCACCTGTTCCGTTGTTCCTCAATTTTGGTGATTACTTTGCCATCCTTGCTTTTCACTGGTCGTTCTGGTTCACGGTAATTTCCAGAACGTTTCTTTGTTTTATCATACAACTGTCTCAAGTTTCTTTCACTTGCAGCCTTTTCCTCTGTCTTCGCTAGATCTTCCACATATTTACGCTTGTCGTCTCTGATGCTCCTCTTCAATTACTTGCTTACCTGTGTATATTCGGCTCGTGCCTTGGCTTTTTCTGCTCTTGTTCGGCTGGTATTGATTTCTTCCTTCTTGTTCCTCCTTGCTTCAATCTTATCCAGTGTACCAACAGTGATCCATTCCTTGTGATGGTGCTTCTTGTGGCCCAGAACCTCCTGACATGTTGAAATGATTTTCTCTTCTATCCCATTCCAGCTGCTCTCTGTAATAGTTCCCTCTTCATTGAGCAGCTTATGAAAAGCCGGAACTTGTTGTTAAGGGCTACGTTGAATTTGTTAAGTTCGTCAGTATTTCGAAGAAAAGCCGCTTTAAAATTTTGTGATGTTGTCCGCCCCGTTGTCCAGTGCTTCATAAGTTTTAGTTTCATCTTGTCGACCAGCAAGTGATGATCTGATGCTATATCATCTCCTCTGCTGGTTATCACATCCTCCATCGTCCTCCCGAACGTTTTGTTGATGCAGATATGGTCGATTTGGTTCTGTGTAGTGTGGTCTGGTGAAGTTCATGTGATTTTGTGAATGCGTTTGTGTAGGATACAGTGGACAGCTAGGGTGCAGCTGGACGATTTAGACTTCTCAGATGATCTAGCTCTCCTATCACACACGCAACAACAAATATAGGAGAAAACGAACAGTGCAGCAGCAGCAGCCTCAGCAGCAGTAGGTCTCAATATACACAAAGGGAAAAGCAAGACTCTCCGGTACAACACAGCATGCAACAATCGAATCACACTTGACGGAGAAGCTTTGGAGGATGTGTAAACCTTTACATATCTGGGCAGCATCATTGATGAACACGGTAGATCGGATTCACATGTGAAGGCACAGATTGGCAAATCAAGAACAGCATATTTGCAAGTGAAGAACATCTGGAACTCAAGACAGTTGTCAAGATCAGAATTTTAAATACAAATGTCAAGACAGTTCTACTGTGTGGGGTGGAAACCTGTAAAACTACGAAAGCCATTATCCAGAAGATACATGTGTTTGTCAACAGTTGTCTACACAAAATACTTTGGATCCGTTGGCCAGACACTATCAGCAACGAGCTACTGTGGAATAGAAGAAACCAGATTTCAGTAGAGGAAGAAATAAGGAAGGGGCGCTGGAAATGGATAGGGCACACATTGAGGAAAGCATCCAACTGCGTCACAAGGCAAGCCTTCACATGGAGTCCTAAAGAACAAAGGAAAAGAGGAAGACCAAAGAAAATATTACGCCGATGAGTGGAGACAGACATGAGAAGAATGAACAAATGTGGATAGAACTAGAAGGGAAGGCTCAGGACAGAGTGGGCTGGAGAATGCTGGTCGGCTGCCTATGCTCCATTGGGAGTAACAGGCATAAGTAAGTATATTACGACCGCAAAATCAGGAGTTTAAATAGCATGTGGGAAAGAACACTATATCCTAGACACTGCTTTTACAGACCAGACTTGTGTATTTTACTGTGTTGGGTCAAGTGTCTTTGTGAAAGATCTCATAAGACATAGCTAGATGTCATGGCTACATCGATAAATCCGACCGCGAAGAGAAGGATAACCAAAACATATATGTAGATCACTAGTATTCATGACTACATCAAAAAATGAAATCCCATTGAAACGTTAGCATTTATAGCTAAAAAGTACTAGTACTTGGGGACGCATAGGACGATCTATAATATAAAGCTGGTTAATCAGCAATGGTTATCATGATATCAAGGAGGCTCGTACACATGTTCGACACTCAATGATTTGCCATTCAGCATAGAAGCATTTCAACCTGATGGACGATTAAGCTATGCCTTAACAACATCCCACTAGTCCCATAAATATCGGTAACCTGAATTATTACAGTTCATAGACCAAATAAGGTACGACAGTTAAACAGACGAAAGAATAGTTACACTTACATGAAAACCTACACAAATAAAAATTCTTAAGTAATCATATGAATAAAAGCAGAATATTGTGTAAGAAAAAATTGAGTAGTCTTTCTCTCATTTTACCCGATGCCATTTCACATACATCTACACTACAGTAAGCCTGCCAGGTATATTCTTTATAGATATATGATGTTCAGCTGATAACGGTCCAGCGAATTTCGTTGTTTCTACTTTGAAGACTGTGAAAAAGATCTACAAGCTTGATGTGGATATTCGGATGCATTTTTCCATTTCTTTATAATGAAATTTATCACGAATAAAACGATCGAACACTAACTTGGACACTATATTGTTGAGATTCGAACGAATTAACATCTTGAGTTGTCTCTTCGTTGCCCAGAGTATCGAAATTTATTTCTAACGAAACTGAAACTAGTCCGCACCTGTTCAAACGAAAGCCACCACTTTCGTACTTCCGACAGAGATTGAAAATAATCTGCCAGAAATTTCCGTCTCGCCTTCCTCCACTTTAAGCTTTGTTGACTTTTAAAAATCTTATAAATTGATTTCTCATTGCCAAATGATAAGTAAAGTGTCGTTCATACAGAAGAATTCGACAGTACATGGAAATCATTGACATCTGTGCCAAGTATGATGATACGACTAACTATCTTTGTTGTACAGCGGTGAACCCAGGAAGATAACTAAGATCGTCTTCGGTCGCTGATTGAGAGTTGGTGAAGTTAACAAATGCCGCTTGTATTTGTATACTGAATTACAGTGACCCACTAAGAATTATGGGTAAGTATCCACTAAAATACGAATACAGAAACCTGCAATGGCATATGAAAAATAAAGACATGTTTAGTTAACGAGTGCCGTATCATAAAATCGAAATTCAGAGCACTCAAAATAACTGGTACCAGAATATTTCATACAATGTCTAATTAGCCTCAGTTGAGGCGGTAGAGGCATTTGCCGAGTAAACTTGCTAACCATACAGTCAAACTTTGTACTGATTCTTTTTCAGTAAATAAAATCGAAGCCTTAAGTTTTATGATGCTTTCTTGGTGTTACTCGATGGTAAATAAAAATGTATACGTGCTGTACATTTATTTATCCTTCAAGTATAGTTTAGGCTCCTACATTAGGTCCCAGAGATAGCTCTGCGCAGATGCATGAGGAACATTTCAAAGCTACATTATCATAATCCTTACTCTTTGACATATAATGACTAAGGTTTATAAGTTTGTTTCAGTAAACCAAGATGCGGTACTCTTCCAGCTAGTAACACTTTTAAATGTGACTGTGTTTTCGCAATTATTTACGACAATGCTAGAGATCCTTTTATCCCCTGGCTCTCTTAGCTGGGGGAGAGGGCTTCTGTGTATTTTTTCGGCATTCGTTGTTGGACTTAGTGGCGTCGTTCCGCTTCTATTTCTCCCACTAGATAGCATTTGTTCTAAGAAAGGTAACTTTATTACCATCACTTCTTCCAAAATCAGATGTCATTTCTCTCAATAGGTGGCTTAGTTATGCTACTGGAAGTCTTCTTGGCGAAGTTTTTATCCATCTTCTGCCAGAATCCTGGATTAACAGTAAATGTGACTAAATGTTAACGTCACAAACCAACAATATTGTTGGCTATTTACCATTCCTAGGTGACATCGACGCATTTCAGATCCCTGGACTTTGGATACTCGGGGGACTTTTGCTGTTTTTTATTATCGAAAAGTTATGTATTCATGATTCTACTGAAAAAGAGGTACGTCTTTGACTACACATATAATGAAGTACTTGAGCTTATCAGTGTAAACCTATCTGCTCCCTTGATCCAGCTTGTATTTTGCCGTACTTTTGTCTACTTATTAAAAATTGTGTTCTTATAGTACAGTTTCAGATGGTGTGTTTGATTTTTGTCTTAAGTGAAATCAAGACTGGTTTTCTTAAGACGTGTGATATTCGTCCTGGGATTAGTTTTGACATTGACCTCTTACTTGAAGGAATAAAGCTGCTTTTGAAGATTCCGTAGGACTAAGCATACACTGTTCATGATTATTATTATTACTAGCGCTGCCATCATCAGTGGTAATAGTAGTTGTAGAAGAGCATGGAGCACCGGAAGCAGCAAATTGTGTAGCAAATGTGTGAGCAATAGATATGGACTCTTTCATAACTTTTCCCGTTATTTGCAAAGTACCTTTTTATTGGATACTTCCTCCGAATCACTACTATCACTGTGTGAATCAGTAGTATTGGTAGATTGATAGGCATATCTTGGTTTTTTATTAGTACATTCAATATATAGATACCTGCTTCAGTCTGGGCACCTGGGCAGCATCACAGCCCTCACACAAATCGAATGAGATTTGTGAGGCGCATATTTATCTGGTGCTTCATTGTACCAATTTTTATGTGTTTAAATAAAATAATAAAAAAACCACCCATTGATGTCCAAGCTAAACCCATAACAACTCCGGGTGGTGTAATAGAATCATACAAACGATCTGGTGTCCGAATTGGTTGAACAACATATATGGTTAAGTTATCTTGTTAAGTTACTTGTAACGGCTTTCTATGTGATTTTAACCGCTGGTCTATCATGAATTTTAAGGGATCTAATATTGGTACCAACTTCACTTCATTAGCATGTAGGTAGATGTTGGTGGAGGTCATAGTCTTAAAGCAAAGATCAGTACCAAAAATCGGACTTCGTTAAAAATCAAATAGACCCTTACATTTTGGTCGAGATAATGTTTAGATGTATTTGTACCCAATAAATTTTTCATGTGAACGTACATCCCTTTCAGTCATCACTTCAAAACCGACAGTTTTGAATACATAAACCGTATTCAAGTTTGCCCATCTCCTTGTCCATAGTTCTAAATTCGACTACCTTCTTCATCACACAGCTGTAAAAATAAATATAATATTTGAGGAAACCTAATGATCAAACCCTGTATTCGTTTCATGTCGTCTGTGATTGTGAAAGTCTGATACAACCCCAGACGTTTGATTATATGTGATGACATAACACAATTATTTAACTTTTCTTAGTATAAACTACTATCTCCCTATAAGTCAAACAATTTTACACATAAATTGTAATTGAACCTCAGTAAAGACGATCTACAAAACTGCTCGTACCATTAAGAAAACCAAGCTAACTGTTGGTCGTTATTAGTTGTTGCTATCTAACACCAAATGTCACCAAGATATTCCACTGAACACCGTCAAAGACTATACTAAGAGCAGGTTTACGGATACACTATTCCCGTGTAAGCGAAATTATATCGAAAAAATACAAACCAGTGGTCAGCTCTCATTTCATACAAATAGAACAACAAATGATACTAAGTAGAACCAACCCGTCAAATGCGTTCTAACTGGTTACCGATTGAGCATAACAATGGCGTTACAGAGGCTTCTGCTATACTAGTTGTCTTGACCTGCATTTGTTGGTATGTATGGCATAGAAGTATTAGGTCATCTGCGAAATCCAAATCGTCTAGCTGCATAAAAGCTGTCCATTGTATTTCGTGCTTTCCCTCATGTGGTCTTTGTGATCCAGTACGTAGGTAAGTAGTTACGATTTTTAAACTCTTTAGGTTACTTCTTGACCTCGGTTATAAATTAGACAGAAGGAAACACATTCAGCATATAAATCTGTTTTCTCAAGCTTTTTGTTAATGGCGTTTGTTATCACTGGTTTCAGAATAATTAACGCGTTATAAAGTCTTAGTTAAATTAGTCGACTATTACACATGGAATATGTAGTAGATAATAATTTTCCAAATTTCTCTTGTTTATAACGCAGTAAACCATAGTTTTCCGTTCACAAAAAGTTTATTCTGATTATTTTTTTTTCAGAATATTTCTAAACAGGGTTTAACGGCTGGTAATTTGAGCCACAATAGCCACGGCTACATGTCATTAGTTTTGAGGTTTTCGGGTATTCTGATCCCTGCTTTTCGTTATAACTGATATGAATACCAATATCTTCTGGTTTTTGCCTATTTTTCTACTATTATCAAACCATGTTTGTGGTTTTTTACAGATAATGGCATGGCCTTTTATCTGAGATCTTGATTGAAGTTATTTGTCGTGTTTGTCCTAGCTTCTCTGTCACCTGATTTCATGAGCTTATTACCATTCTTTTTTTACCCCCAGTTCAACTGATTGATTCAAGATGACTAAATTTTGCATTATTACTTTTTTAGGTCGAAGGTTATCTCAATCTTGCTGCCAATGTAATTGATAATTTTACTCATGGTGTGGCTATTGCTGGAAGTTATCTTGTATCTCTTCGTGTAAGTTGACCTTTACAAATTTTCTAGCTCTAACCTGTGCGTAAAAGTGAGAATGAAAAAAAACTTGTTAATTTATGAACGTTCTTGGTACGTTTAAGCTCCGAACGTCTTTAACTTCTTGATCCAGCGTTAATGTATACCTTTAAATATCCCTTAAAAATAACTTTCCTTTCTGTCTTTTATTACGACCAAGGTAGGCCATGAAACGTATGTTTGCATTTAAATGATACAACGATTGTCTTTGTGTTTTTGATCTAGATAAGGGATAGTATTGTTTCAGAGTTCATCTTTACTAGTCTGCAAATTTTTTTATAAATTGTGTTGTTGCTGGATCAATGAGTAAAGAAATAACTGTTGCAAATGTGCAGTATATCATTTTCAACCCAGTTAATTACAATCAGTGGTAGATTTTAATTTTTTGCTTACCTGTTATATGACAACACAGTATATGACAATGGCTTCTCCTGGTTTCGTCTCTATTTCATCTTTCTAATATGAGTTATTCAAATATTCCATCCATATTTATCCAATATGGGTATCACGATTGGGCATCAAAACTCTCACAGAAATATAAAAGCTTTTAATTAAGCAGTTGTGACAACAAAAAATTGGCCACAGGTAAATGTAGTATATTTAAAGCAGAGATGGATGATGTCTATCAGTTGAATCAAGATTATTTATTATTATTCATCTGAAAACAAACCTATTGGTACAGACGGGCATTAAATACATATGCGCCACACAATAACAATGAGAATGTGTAGATATAGAGAATGTAAAGTGCATATAAGAAAAAGGAGGGCAATAACGAACATAAATTAGCATATGGAAGTGAATTAATAATAATCAGAGAAGCAGTTCAGTTAGCGAAAGTACGACCGGAAAGAATTCTTCCAGTTAAAGAAGTTTCAGTTGTATGAAGAAAGCAAAATAAAATTATAGCCGGATCGTCACTGGCTTATATTCTGAGTCATATTTGATAACGTCTCAAGCCACTGTGTTGCACCATCTCCAGGACCTCAACGAGGTCATGAAGGTCAAACAGAAGTCAGTCCTATACAACCTTCTTTCATACTACGACACCATATCAAACACTGACTTCCTCTCCGCTTTTTCCAACCAGTCCCAGCGTCGGCAAATAATGCACTAAGTGCTATTCTCTGAGACAGCATTCGTAGAACATGTCCAAGCCACCGAAATCGATGTTTCAAGATAGTGACACTAACTGGATCATAGTCGCTCTGCCTAAACACACGATGCCGAACCTCCGCATTACTAACATGGTGTTGACACTGGATGTCAGCAATCGTTTGGAGACAACGATGATCAAAGACAGAGAGTCGCTTAACACAGTCAACTCGGAGAGGCCCTGTTTCACAAACATATAACAAAACTACTCTCATCTATGCGTTGTAGATCCGACCTTTTTCAGCCAGACTAACATCGTGAAGGCGACAAAGATGGCCCAAATCGGCATAAGCCGCTCTGACTTTCACTAGACATAAATTGATCTCATCACTCACGCCACCACCAGCACTTATGCAGCCACTCACTTAGATACACGAACTCCTCGACTACTTCTACATGCTCACTACCCAGGATCAGGGTCCAGTCAGTCTTGTAAAAGTACTTTGAACTTGGAAGGTGCAAAGCACATACCATACCTATGGACACTAACTGCCAACTGATTAAGTGCGGATTGCATGGATTGGGTATCATCGCACAGTAAAACAATATCATCCACATACTCACGTTCGTGAAGTCTTTCTCCAGGTAACAGATCAACACCGCCATTGCCTACATCCATCAGAGCCGTTTCTAAAGCGTCATCGATGGCGAATTTGAATAGGAATTGTGATATTAGGCAACCCCAACTAAACCCACTACTTTAATGAAACAATGGAGAGAGATGGTTGTATCACCCAACTCTTGTTTGTATATAAGGCCCTCAAGATGTTGATAAACTTCACAGGCATACTCTTATCCGATAGAAAATGCCAGAGAAAAGTCCTGTCCAACGAATTGAAGGCGGCCTTTATGTCAATAAGTACAACGATTGTTGGCATGTAATAAGTGTGGTGGTGTTCTAACACTTGTCGGATGGTGAAAATATGATCAATACATCCTCGACCAGAACGTAAACCAGTCTGCTCTCTGTGAGTTAGTCTTTTTAGGGCTTTGAACTACCTGTGATGTATGGCGGAAGCTAACAGTTTGGACGTAATCGGAAGTAGACTTATCCCCCGATACTTATTACAGAAACGACGTGAAGCCTTTTAAAGATAGGGACGATTATCGACTTTTTTATCCCATGATGTTAGAACACTTTCTAATTGTTAGACCTTTGTAAACAACTCAGTCAGTTCCGTAACCCGAAAGTCACCACTATCTTTAAAGAGGGCCGCAGGTAATTCATTTAAGCCTGGTGATTTGTGACTCTTCAAGAGTTGGGGTTCATTGCGGACTTTCGCCTCGTTTGGTTAATCAGTCGCCACAGGCCATGGAGGACAAGAGACCAGTTGAACTGCTCCTCGAAAAACTCTACTCATTGTCCGAGACGTCGATAGATGTTAGTGATTGGCATCCCGTCACCTTCACAGAATGTTCCGCTCACATCAAACTTCTTGCTGCCAGTGGTTCGAATGAATTGAAAGAGCTCCCGGCAGTTATCAGATGCAGCTGCTGCCTCCAACTCATTGGCAAGCTCCGACCACCAGGCTTCTTTATCCTTACGCAAGCTTTGCCCGATTTCATTACGTAACAGTCGTCGTTCGTAGTCAAACTCACGGTCATCTGAAGTAGGCCGACCGGCTTCAATGAGTTATAAGGAGCCTGAAGAAATCCAGTGCTTATAAGCGGGATGTTTCACGAAGCCGCAAGTAACCTTACTCGCCATTTTTATGGCTTCATGCAACTGCAACCAATGTTCATCTATACTTTAGCTAGCCTTGAACCTAGTTCGGTTTGATATTTAGTTGCAACAGAAGCTGTGACCAATTTACTGAAATCGATCAGTTGAGGACGATGAATTTGTTACCCACTGAAAAGTAAGGAAAGATTAGCGCAAACAAGGGATCAGTGTTCAGATAGGTACTCCAAAAGGAGCGGCAGCCTTGTATACAACCACACCAGCGGTAGCTGATCGCGTTTCTCACTGTGACGGAAATTTCTAATCTAACAACACATGACCATCTGTTAATTTGGGTCCGTTCGACCAGTGCTGTCTCACTATAGCGCTTGGTGAAACACCAAAGCCAACAAAACCAGACGATGTCACAGGGTCCTCGGATAATCGCACGTAAAACGAGCCTTTCGAAGCGACAGATGAAGGGCGAATTTGTAATACTTCACTAGAGTCTTGAATGCGGGTCTCGGATAGACAACAGACATCGATATTAAAACTTTCTAAATACATTACCAACCCTAGCTGATGTCCTATCTGCAATAAAGTGCGAACGTTGAAGGGAGCTGGTTTGAATGGTATACCTTGTTTCGCAAAGACTGTTTCAGTTTTCGTATTCGGTAGTGGGATTCAATTTTTGACCAGTCAGTGACTGGAGATCATTTAGATGGGACAGGGTTTCCACTATAGGTGATCTGCTGTGTAAGTTAAAGAAATAAGAATACACAAAGTGCGAATCGAAGAGAGTACATGGGTGAGTTAGTATATTAAAAAAAAAATCAAAATGGATGTGAACTGTCCAAATTTTAATTGAAGCAAGAATATAATTTCCAGTAGTATTTGTCATTTGATTTGTGTGTGGGCTGTGATACTGCCCGGTTGCCCAAACCGAAGCAGGTAGTTTTCTTGGAAGGTCTAGAGGTCTGGTCCACAAGGCAGTGGAAAATCGTTGGGAAACACAGTCCTATAGTAGCTGGTGACTAACAATTGGTTCATACGCCGTTTGTCTCTTCAGGATCCTGGAGCCCATGTGCACCGTTGGTTTGGGATCAGGGTTTTACAATAATTCTAGGCGGACCCTCCATTTTCACCAGCCCGGTTAAAGCACTGGACATTCTCTTTTCGTTCTCCCAATTTCGTAAACAACAGTAACGCCGCGAAAAGGCAGTTAGTAGGACTTCTCTGTCAGTGGCTGGATATGCGTGGCCATGTGAGAACATTTCGAGAGGGAAAGTGAACTCTAGCCACCCTTGACTGCACCAGGGCATTCGGGGCCAGAACGTACGTTTCATCTTATTTGTGACCCATCAACTGGATGCACAGTTGGATTCAAACAACCAATACAAAAATGAATTGAAGTATATTTAACTTACTATCATTTCAATCTTTTCCGTTTTAATGTATAAAAGTTTCTGAAATATTTTCAAATCATATATTTATATATTTACTTAGTAAATTTCATCAGTTCAGATAAATGATAGTATTTTATTCTAACTGTCTCAGTTAGGGATTTTGACGACTACCTGCATATTAGTACATGAAGTTCCTCATGAAATGGCTGATTTTGTAATTTTACTCCGAAGCGGGTTCAGTCGGTGGGAAGCTGCCAAAGCTCAAGTAAGTCAAGATTTTCGACAACTTTTATGTGTCGTTCAAATACAAATTTCTTATGGTTTCTCATTCGAGTTAATTATCAGTTATTCCAACTGGCTTCTGTTTGTCACGTAATTCGTTGTTGACTAACGAATAGACACGCACTCACTACAAGACAAAGGATTAGTTCTAGTTGTTTCGACTCTTCCTAACAGTGAAGTAAATAATATTACTTACAAGAGAAAATGAATTATTAAAATGAAATGGGAACTTATTGGGCTCTTATAATAAAAGCGAAAGAGTAATGGACATACGTCATAAAAACTGAATGAGAACTTTAGGATTTCACAAAACTTTAATATCTGGTTATTTTACGTGAGCACTTCAAAGTACCACTCTATTGATATTATATTCGAAATATTCTTACACTGCGTAACCAACATCTTCACAGTTGTTTAATATCAGATCAAAATATTTAGGTAGAACTAACAGAATCACTATTCCAAAATTTTAATGTAATTGTAAAACCTTTCAAAATTGTTCTTTATAATATTAAATGAATACAATTTATTATTAACTCTTAAGATTATGATCATGTTTGTTTTCAATCAAACGAATCAGAGACTAGTTCAACCCTCGGTTACTTATAAAGATTGTCCAATTCAGTTCTAGCTTACCTTTTGGAATGAATTCAAGATACTCACAATTTTAATCATTAACATTCAGAGGTGTTTAAGGACTTTATTGCAATCTTATTACTTCTGTGCTATACTCCAGGCTTCCTAAAAGGTAACTACAGTTAACTCAAAACAATTATGCGGATCATCTATTTTCAGTTACCTTACCGAAAGCCGTTTTTCAATATAAGGAGTGAGTAAGAAAAACAAATAGTAATCTAGTAATAAGATGGCTAAAGAGAAAGCTAATTTTTTTCCATTCAAGTGACACTATCTGATCATTTATGACCTATTACATATGGTCACAGACACCATGCAACTAATTGCTTTAAGATATGTCCAGTTATGTTTCAAGTCAAGCTCAATCGGGATCTTGTTCCGATTTTTTTTCTATACTGTTGAAACAATGAAGTGTATTTTTTATTATGATACTGGACAAATATTGTCTTAACCCACATATTGCCACCTGCAGTTAAACAAAATGTAAAACCATGAAGCATCTTCCTTTTTCGTTGTATTTGAGTCCATGAAATTTATCCTGTTTTGAACTTCATGCCAGCGTGTGGATTTTAAATTTGGATGAACTAAACTGAGGTACTCAATTAACTGACCAGCATGATCTCTGTTATTACACATGATGAAATCTTCATTATACATAGAGCTAAACTAAATTGACTGATACTATGAGTAAATTTGATCATTCAGATGTTTATGTCAGTTTATAAACACAGCATAGCACAGTGAGAAAAATGGTAGTTTAGTATGCCCAAAATATTTGTATTACCTTATTCAAGTTATGTATTTTAACTCTCAGGTTCTCATAATCATTTCATGTAACACAGCCAGCGCCAACTCTAAATAGAAGTGGTCTTTTTAAAACATTTCCTAAGATGCTAGATCAGTTACTTCTGATGCTCTAAATTGTGATACATGATTCGACTCAAAAATACAGACCTACCTATATCCATGTTAATCTGAAGTAATCTTTGTGTTAATTGTAAGTTTTGAATTTAAGTGTTTATCGGTATTTTCAGCATTATGTATGTTAGATCATTATAGCTAGTTGATTAACCGAATTAAACGTGAAGGGTTATTTTAATCCTTCAATAAATAATTCCTGTCATTATTTTTTTTCTTGACAAAAATGTATCTATGGCTCATTGGCTTAAGGAGTTTACACAATTGTGTTACAAATTTTAACTACGCTACACTTAGTTTATTATAGGTAGTCGTTAATTTCTCCAATCCCTCCACACAAAAAGTGTTTCAAGATTTGAGTACAAAAACATATGGGTCGCTATTGAGTTTTAGTAGCTTATTCTTTAAAAAAAACTAACTTGCTAATAAATACTTTATAAACTAACGTTTTTTGTTTCAGTTAGCTACAGCATCTGGATCCACTTTAGGCGCCATCTTAACACTTTGTGCTAATGCTTCAGTAACCGGTAAGTAATAATGCACCCAGAAAAATTCACTAAATTGTAATTATTTTTTAACTTATCTTGACTCCCAGAGATAGTTTGGAAGTAATCTGTAATTCCTCTACACCATTTACAATTTATGATACTTTTATACTTCATTTATTCAATAACTGCTCCACGACAAAAATTCATTAAAATGATATAATCAACAGATTCTGACCCCCAACGTTTTCTATGACTCGTTTTCTGACATTCTGAATATTTTGTCTGTCAAGATTTCGTTGAGCTTACTTGTTTGTAATTTTGACTCACTGAGAAAATAAATGAATGATAACATAGGAAAGCGAATATAATTTTCTATTTTTAGTCTACTTAAAGAATTATCATTTTGACTTTAAATATTAATGAAGAACTGTCTTCTCCAACTTTTCATATCTTTTAGTTGAGACTATTTACTAGTTTGATAATGACTAATTATTAATTCACTGCCAAATGTTTAGTAGTCTACTTGTAAATATTCAGTAAATATTTCACTTTTTAATACAATCACATTTTACGAGTCATATAGTTTAGAATTCTAATTAAGGATACATTATTAATTAGTAGTCTATATGTTTGAATTTTATCCATTAGATTACAACTTAGGCCTTTCTCATCTATTCCAGTCTGAAGAGCTGACAAATATCACTGGTGTTCACATTAATTGGTTTAACTCAGTATCTTGCGAACTACAAAACATCTAAACGAAATAGTCTATACAATTGAATATGTAACTAAATTATGATATTCACAGACAACACTGTAGTGAACAAAAACACGGGTGGGGGCAATCGAATGTATTTGAGCGCAAATTACAGACTATCTCACTAAATTCTGATGACTATACAGTAAATAGTTAATTTGTAAAACAACAATCAATTGTCTCAATCTCAACTGTTTCTTCTGTAAATATCAGTCCGTCTTCTCTTATTTTATTGTTCATGCATTTTCGTACCGATCGCGCTTCGTTCCCATTCTTTCCTTATCGATCTTCTGCCAAAATACATTCTATGTCTGACCATCACCATATGCTACTTGCCCCCAAATGCCCTGGTACGGCCGAGAGTGGGGAGAGTCCGCTCTACCTCTCCAAATGCTCTCACATGTCCACGCATATATAGCCTCTTCCAGGGATTCTACTCACTGCCTTCTCGTGGCGTTACTGTTGTTTACGAAATTCAGAGGACGAAAAGCGAATGTCCGGCGCTTTAACCGGATTGATGGACACGGAGGGTCCACCCAGGGGAGTTGGAAAACCCTGATTCCAAACCAATGGCACACATGGGCTTCCGAATCCTGAGTGAACAAATGGCGTATGAACCAACCGTTGGTCACCGGCTACCATGGGACGGCATCTCCTTACGATGCTCCACTGCCTTGTGGACTAGACCTTCAGGTCAAAGGCTGCGGGTGTGGCCCCTTAAAAAAACCACGTGCTTCAGTCTGGGCACCTGGGCAGTATCACAGCCCTCACACAAATCGAATGAGATTTGTGCGGCGCATATTTATCTGGTGCTTCCTTGTACCAATATTTATGTGTTTAAATAAATAAATAATATACTACTTATGTAGATATAAGTAGACCACGCCACATCCGAATTCTAAAAATCAAGACATTTCAGTGTCATTACATTTACTGAGCTCGATAGTTTAATCGTAAAGTTTTCATTGTTTTATTAGAAAGTATCAACTTAAAAAGATATGTTTATGTTGATAACATTGTGAAGTGATGAAAACGAGAGCTTTACGATTGCACTACTTTGCTCAAATATTAAAAATCACCAGAAACTTCGTACCAACGTTTTTTACCAACTAGAGATCAAATAGTGTAATACAACATAAATTAAATCAATTATTCCTAATAATTCCTCCCTTCTCTTAGTCTATTCTGGACAATGAGAAAAACTTTCTGTTATATCGAGTGCAGTGTGTGCGTGCCCTGTTTGATATATGAACGTGCTGATCCCCGCCAATCAGAGAGGAGCGAATTATCGATCACAGCTATGATACACAAAAGCCGTACGAGCAGTCTTGAGTACTTATCAGTTCTGCTTTCTGCCTAGCCCAGCCAGTTTAGTCCAGAACCGAGTCTGCTGTATGAATCATAATATTTCAAACATACTGGGTTTATATACCAAACAGACTGACCAGAGCATACCAATAAAATAGAAAATAACATCTGTACAAGGTTTGGCCAAAACTGGCTTTGAAGAGGGCGAACAGTAATTAATTAACTAGGGATAACTCAAGAACGGCAAATCGTAAAATTATAATCTATAGGTCAAAATAAAGCTTATAATAAAAGGAACACGAGTGTGAATAGTTTAGTTACTTAGCAATTATATAATAGGAAATATACGCATCATATTGGTCCATAAATAGTCCTCAGAGTTACCATTCATAAATCTCCCCACAGGATATAACACTTTCTGTTTAAATTGCATTTGAAAAAAGCTACCTTAAGATATGTAATATACATGTACAGTAAATTTATTTGTTTGATAAATTTTTTATATAAATTGAATGAATTCAATGTAACGCTTTATTTTAAATTTCTCAATTCCAATCTATATTATATAAACAATATACATCTATTTATGATTAATGAATGAAATATCCAGTTTTTATGATTGTTATTGTTAATAATAGTAATGCTAGACTTGATTATTGTTACATATTACATACATAAATGAAATAATCTATAAAGTATATAAAGGCCATATTCTATAGGTTATTAATATACGTACACGCATATATACCAGTTACAATAATAATAATAATAATAACAGCCAAAATTAAGTATCCTTTTTAGATCGTTGACTGTGATTAGCTTAATGATACTTGAGTATGCTAAATAAACTGTTGTTGTATTTAATGTTTATATTTATGTTGTGTATGATAGAAAAAATATTATTATTTTATAGTTTTTATGTAAATTCAACTATTTATTATAAGTACGGTTTTAAGCAAAGTTGGATGTTGACTAATAATGGTATCCAAAATGCATATTTCGTTTTATTATGGGTTCGTCAGCTAGAGGTACCTGTCACGTTCCAGTATTGATGTTCACACAGGGACTCGTACCCATTATCTTTCACTTCCAACGAACAACGTCTTATGTACTTAGTTACCGAGTTTAGATAGTCACTAGCTTGTTCAACGAGTAATCATTTTAACTTAATTTGTATTGGTTTTTCGAATCTTCTCATAAATGTTATGGAGTGCAATTGATCAGTCTTGATCGTACTTAATGACAATATCGTTGCAATCCGTAGAAGATGCACATATCCCAAACGAGACCGATCTATTACAATCCATAACATCAATGGGATTATTCAAATAACTGATATAAACAAATTGTGAATTCAATTATTTTTGAAAGTTGTATTTAAAATGATCTCAGCTATTGAAGTCGTAATAACTTCAACATATCATCCAGCAAACTTGTCTGAACTTCTTCAGGGTAATAATCGAACTATTCGTTCAAAGTATGATGAATATTCGAACTTTATATATATATTAGTGTAACTGCATGGAACTTAAAAATATTGATATTGCATCACAGAAAATTGCAGTGAATTATCATTAATTCTGAATTTTTATCCTGAGAACTTAATAAAGTGACACGCAGACATATTAAAGAAGAACCTGGCACAAAGAATGCCCATGTTCAAGATATAATAAATCTGAGGTACCTAAAACTCCTGTACATAATTGAAGCAAATATCCTTGTGCAAAAAGTAACCACGAATTAAGATTATTTATATATATTATTACAGTTTAAATGAAAAAATAACTATGATTTATTTTAATTCATTTTCGTATTAGTTGTTTGAATCTTTCCATTGGTGTTTTGGATTGCCAAAGATACATTTTATTTATCGAAAGGTATATTTTATTGTTTAAGTAAACTAGGAAACAAAGATTCCACAGGTTCCTTATTGAGTTTGATTTCGAAACATAACTGAAGTCAACTCAAAGCAATTAGTAGCATGATCTCTTTGACCAAATATAATAGGTCATAATTGGTTAGATGATATCACTCTGATGGAAAAATCTAGCTTTCTCCTACGCCATCTCATTATTTGACTTCTCTTTGTCTTTTTCACTCACTCCGAGGTAATAAACAACAATGTCTGTAGTGATCATATAAATTCTGTACGTAAAATGTTCTCAAGTCACCGAAACCAGTGTTTTGAAGTACTTTCACCGAATAAATATTGATTCCGATAAGCTGAAACACTTTTTGTTGTACCTTAGAACTATTTCCCCGATGTAGTGTCCAAATTAGGCGATCTCTTATGAAACAACTACATTTGAACATCTACAGTTTTGAAAGTATAGATTTTACATTCACTTGAAAGCACCTCCTGCACAACATTTTTGTAACCTAGCTAACATAGTGATAATACTACAGATTAACACAACTCTTTCTGATTTATAGTACTAGCCATACCATCACAATTATCTATTTTTAACGACTTCTTCAAAAATGCCCACAGGTTCCGAATACTATTAATCTTGTCGTAATTTGATCAACCAATTGTAGTACTGATATCAAGCAGAATAAGTGCTATTTAATTTGCTTATTTGTCATTTCATATTTTAATGAAGTTTTCCGGATACTTTAGGTTGAAAAGTCCCTTTCATTGTGACAGGTTTCAGATTTTTTTAGACAATTCAACTAACTAACGCGTCCTTATCCGATCTCTGCTTGTTCTTTTATACATTTATATAAACGTGATGTTGTTACTTTTGCTAACCAAATAAATTTCTCTCCAATATATATTCATGAAGCATTAGAAAATGCTTAGTTTATTAGCTTTTTACAATATTTCAACATTAATAATAAAATATAATAACTTTATTTGTGTTTAGAAACTAAATCATCCTAAATAGTACAGGTTTCCGTGTATAATTTTTAGAAGTGTCATAGCATCTAGGTTTCATTATTGTTGGTGATCATCATAAATACTTGTGTAGATTAGGTTTCTACCTGCACAGCGAAAACATAGCAGTATATTAATTGTTGAGCTACCTTTTATACTTCCGCCATTGTACTCAAATTTATTTTATATACATCAGTAAGCTTATTAAAAATACTAAAATCTATAAACATTATCTACATCTAATAACTGAGACAAATAATTCAAAAGTTGAAAAAATGTTTCTTTATTTTCCCCTTATTTCTATCCTAATTTGTACTTTTCCGATATATTCCATATGTACTGTACGTTAGTGATACTGATGCGAAACGCTGAACCACACTTGCTTAGTTCTTGTTTATGATCCAACATACTGGCTATATAATATAAACCAACTGTTTATCTGCTTATACATCAGTCTATTTATTTCTTTGAAATTTTACATAATGTGATTTTCTTCAACCTTATAGGTTGTACAACGAAATGGATACTTCCTTTTACTGCCGGTGGTTTTCTATACATTGCATTGGTTTCTCTTCTACCTGATATTTTAAAAGAATTATCATTTAAGTAAGTTATAGAAACTTTATAATTTGTTATAAAATGTTAAATTTTACATATTTTCAAATAATGTTTGTATGCACCATTCTCTTTTTAATAAGATTGTTTCTAAGTTACACTTATGAAGACACATCATGCTGTACTAGTCAAAAATTATATTCTCATGATAATTCATTAGTTCTTGAGTTACACTGTAGATACATCTAATGAAAAGTTGTTGCTGAAATATTTTTTTTAAAAATATACTAACCGTTTTTCCTATGTTTAAACATTCCGGGTTTAATCTATAAATAAAACTTAAAGAATTTTAGCTTATAATTACAGGAAATTGAATAACGCAGCTATAATCAACTCTTCTTTAATTGCTATGTCAACCAATTTAAACACATATTCCTTTTTATAAACTGAACTAAAATAAAATGTTTACTAAATAGTTTGATATTTCTTAATTCAATGGTTTATCTCACTAATATGTTTACAAACTTTGAATAGTTAAATTATTATTATCAAAAGGGGGTTTTGTGGAGATTTTAGTAATTTTATATAGTTGAGATCATGAGTCAATTGAAGCTAGACCAGTATGGAAAACCTAGAAGCACTGGACGGCTGTTTCGTCTTATTGTGAGATTCCTGAGCAGTGCACATCCACAATCTCGCCTCTAGGTTCGAATCTCGCAAGGCGGGATCGTAGATGCGCACTCCTCAGGAGTCCCACAATAAGACGAAACGGCCGTCCAGTGCTTCCAGGTTTTTCATAGTGGTCTAGCTTCAATTGACTCATGATCTCAACTATATAAAATCATTATATGAACAACTTTTTAGTTATATATATATAATCCATTAATTATACCTTTTGTTATTTTTAGGGAATCAATTATTCATCTAAGTCTTATGTTTTTTGGTTTAACTTCAATGGCAGTTGTCTCATATGCAATGGATTGAATTGATAAATATATGTGATAAGAACCAAAATAACAACCATATTACGTAATGATATATATGTAAAATTGTAAAGGAAAGACGCTCATCGGTAGTTGAAAAAAAGAATACTCAAAAGATTATCGAATTTTTATATCCGGTTATTATATATCCCCTTTCTGATTTCCAATTTATTTACCTTCTCTTATTTATCCAACCAATATATATATATATATATATATATATATATATATATATGTGTAAACATAATATTTCTTATTATTATGATAAGAATGATGATGAGAAATCTAGAGAGGATCTCTATAAAACAAATATTCACCATCATTTGCCCTCTTTTTTCTTGGTTGTTTCACATTTTTTCTCTACTGAGAATTTCCTTCTTTCTTTTTCTATGTATGTAATGCAATCTATGGATTGTTTCATTCAGTGATAATGATATACCGTAAATTACATCCATTACTGAATATTGTACAAGTTGTGTTGTATAGTGTAATAAGCTAAACTTCTGCTATTACTATTATTATTATTATTACCATATGTTCTTTTAATTTCAACCAATACATAGTGAATACCTTTTATTCAATCTTAAATTGACAGTAACTATGTATCATTTAATTAATTATTTTAATAATATTAATTCATATAAGAGTGATTCTATTTTATTATTAATTTTACAAATGGTTGATTAGTAACTAGATGGAGAAATGATTGAGAAAAACTTTTTTTTCCCCAGTTACTCTAACGTTGTTATTATCAATTTATCAGTCTTTATAAAGTGTCAGTGCCTAAATACTTACCATATTGTTGTTTTAAAATCCAAATATTGATGTTGTTCACTTAGAAATATGTGATTTCGTTCTCTTTTTTTGTTGTTGTTATGTTTGTTGAAACAAAGATAAATTAAACACCGCAATCTTTAATGTGTTCAATATGAACATGTGAAAAAAAGAATTCCCCTTTACACCTTGTGTAAACAATTTAACTAACTTATTACAGCATTCATATATTTTTGTCTGTTGATTAATTGTAATTCAGAATTCTAAGAGAAATACTAAAATTTCACTTTTATTCTACGCTTTCTTTGCTTTCCATAAAGTATATCAATTTCTATTTAGTTTAGATTGATTTCTTTTATCCCAATACCTAGAAATATGCTTAAAAGATAAAAATTATATATATTTATATAGTAGTACCCTAATTAGTAGAAAATTACATTGCTGACGTTTTGTAATTGAATGTAAATCACTTCTTCAGAAAATAAATTTTACTAATTTTCAATATGACGCATTTTTCAAGTACAGATTCAAATATACCTCAGCGTGTTTGAAGTTTCATGTTACTATCCAACTGTCTAAACGAAATTAGATGAAACAGGGTTCGAGTCCGAAGAATTATGATTGAAAACTAAGTATGGATTTTAAAAAATCGACCCAGTTTTATGGAGGGTTTATATTGTCAGAAAACTGACACTTCGTTATAAATAAGCTCATTTATTTTAGAATGAGATTTTAAAAGGATACACTAGATTTTATTAGCATTCTAATCTACTACAAATAACACTTCAGGGAAATATTGATCATCATTTTACACAATAGTAATTTCCGAAATATCAGTAAAATGAGTTTACTGCATAGCGAAGTAGATTAATAAACAGATGGTAAGCATACTTCTCTGATATTTATTGTGTCTTTATTAATATGAAACCGGAAAAATCAATGAAATTCAAATCCTTGAAAAATTTCTTTTTTCAATCTTTCTCTTAAAGACGAAAATATTGTCCAAAAGTCAACTGTGTTATTGCCTAATACTCTTACATGCATCTTGATATATATATATATATATATATATATATATATATATATATATATTACTATTGTTGTTTGTATTCTTATCACATATCACCTTTGAACTATCAAAAAAATAAACACATGGTACAAAGTCTAATCATTGATTTTATATTTGATTTCTTTTATAACCGGTAAGAAAACTAGTATTTCCCTCTATGCTAATATTACGTGTGGCAACTTGGGCCAATACATAATCATGTTGCAACCTAGATTCTCAATAACTAACTATCTTGTTTGTATTTGCAAACATTTTTAGGTTTTATTACTGATTATATCGTATAAACGACTTTCTAATAACTGATTTAGAAAATTTCCTGTTTACCTGTAACTATCTTTCTCACTAATCCCTGGACCTACGTTCACAACTAACTGACTGACTCTCCCAATGAGGATAACATCACTGGAATTCCCGTTTCATTATTTCGAGTGTTGAATAATATATTTCTAGTATAATTTTGATCACGTAGTGATGTCAACTAGAGAATTGTTTCAAAACCAGGGATAACTTAGCAGATATTTCACACTAATTTTACATCTCTTAAATGTGCACCATCATTATTCATTACAAAATCGAATGCGGAACTTTCGAGTCTCATAGTAAGCGTAATACTTTTAAATATATTACTGATTGTCGTTCAGAATGATCGTACGTCTTTTCAATCGGATACCTAAGACAACCAAGAAAAATTTCTACCAAACAACATTATTTTTTTTCAATTTGTTTGCTTTTGTTTTTCGTTCACCATCTTGATAATTAATCTGATCATAAACACAACTGTCTAAATCAGTATTAATTTGAATTGTTAAGCCTGAAAATACCCAATATGCATGGTATTTGTCCAATCTCTTTTTTGACTTCAATATTATTCTATTTTAAATGGATAATGTTTTAGTAACTTTTATTAGGTTACATACAACTAATCGATATGGTATTGTCATATTTACCATTTAGTTTTATATACCGATTTTTTTATTGCTGGTTTATGACAACGGATTACTTTCTTAACCATTTTAACTGTATAAACTATGTCTATATGGTGGACTATTACTATACGATTTGCCGTTGCTGAGTTATCCTCAGTCTATTGAATACTGTTCTCCACATTCCTAACCACATTTGGCCGAATCTTGTACAAATATTATTTTCTATATTATTGGTACGATGTGGTCTGTTTGTTTGGTATATAAACACAGTATGTTTGAAATAAATGATTCATATTGCTGAGGCTGTTATTGGTGTTCTGGACTTAACTGGCTGGACTAGGCAGAAAGCAGGAACGAGTAGTGCTCAAGACTGCTCATACGGTTTTTGTGTATTATTGATCCGATCGATAATTCACTGCTCTCAAAGGCGTTTACAAGATAATAACAATTGCTTGGACAGGTTATAACAAATACTAATAAAATGATGTGTGGATGAGAATAAGAATAATTAATTGTTTGCTCAGCCAAATTTATTGCTAGTCTGACAGGCGTTAGGTGAGTTATATATTCTCCTGTCATTATTATTGCTATTATTTTTATCAATAGTTGACTGTTATTGAATTGTGTCGGTTTTCGGCACGGAAATATATTTACGCTCTAGTCAGGCTAACCACGTGTTCTTGATGTGAATGGTGTTGAAGTCCGATAGAATATACACTGGGAGGGAATCTAGTGTAGATATTCGTATAAGGTAAATGAACATCCCATTCGTGTGGACGTGGAAAACTAAGCGTTATAACATAAACATATAATAAATAATCATTTCAATTAGTTGAACTTCACAATTTTCTTTACAAATATTAATAACAAATAAATAAGGTGAGTAGTATATTGCATAAGTTAGGAAAGTCTTATCGTATAATTAAAGATACTGTGGTGTGGGTTGCTGATATCCACATAAGTAGTATCTGGTGATGGTTGGGCATCGAATGTATTTCACTAGAAGATCGATAAGGAGAGAACTGGAACGGCACGCAATTGGTACGAAATTCATGAACAATTATAATCGGAGACTATGGACGGATATTTGCAAATGAAGCAGTCAAACTGAGATAATTGATTGTTATTTTGCAAATCAACGGTTTACTATATGGTTCTCATATTTTAATGAGATTTTCTGTAATGTTGTGCTGAAGTGTACTTGTTCACTACAATACATATAAATGAATCTATACTTTTTGTTCCTTAGAACATTTTGTAGTAATTACTGAAGGTAGTTTAAATTTCAATCTTTATTAATGAGGAATAAAACAACAAAGAGAAATTGTGTTATTAAGTTTCATCATTGAAAATTATGAACGCATATTACTGTGAAAATAATCATCAATTTTTAAGATATTTATGCAAAATCATCAGTCAGTTAGAATCGAAATAGAGTCTGAGACAAATGCACTATAGTTCAACTTGTCATATCACATCAACACCATGTAATGGAATTAAACAGGTGAATATCAATAGAAGACGAAATAATTGTAGTAACAATAATAATGAGAAGGATTGAATGTTAAAAGTATGTTTTGAAATGGTATGTATGGAAAAATACTTCAGCTGATAATCTCAGTCAGCCATGAGCAACCGTATATATGTATTGAGATGAGATGGTGCACGCGATATCCAGTCATCTAGACTAGTAGCCACATTACAACTTGATCGATAGAATTTGATCTGCACTAAGTAGGACCTGAAAAACTTGACATTGATCATTACCCAGTGATCAATCACTTGTAAAAACATATATGTCTTGGCTCAAGTTGTCATGCCACATTATTAAAACGAGGTAAAATTATCAAGATGAATTCCAGAAAATAAGTGATAACATTATTTAGATTTAAAACTAGATAAAAAAATGAAGGCATCTGATGCATTGTAACCGATCCCCAGGCATGTCGTCCAACGTCTTCAACTACTGATCACATGGTTAAAACCTTCAGTTTTTTAAAAATCCATTTGAGAATAAACGTTAGCATATTGAAAAAACAAGACTGTAGTTTGAAATATTCCGTATGTGTTGCTGAGAGTAAGTAACAAATTTTAAGGTCATTATTACTGAGAATAAAACAAAATATATTCAAAGCAAAAATGGATAGTGGCTAGCAGTGGAATCCAGGACGCGCATTTCGTCCTATTTGGGACTGGTCTGCTGGATGTACCTGCATCTCAGAGTTAATGTTCACTCTGGGAATCGAACCCAGTACCTAAGTGGATAACCAAGTGAATTCAAAATGCATTCAAGTTATACATTTTTATTCTGTTTAACAAAAATCTCAATGATAAAATACCTAATATTACCATATATTTTATTTATTATTTCAATGGACATTGTATAATTAAAGAAAAGAATTCATCTACCTATATATGACTGGTTACTATATGAAATACATTTTTTCGGG